TTATAGCGAGTAGGTACAATGAATATCAGTTATCACTATTGTATACATATATCTTGGGTTCGAATGATATCAAATTTATTACTTTTAACTTCTGGTCTTTATATTAGATAAGTATTATTATGACCAGTGGCGAGATCACATTCAGTGGGGCGAACTACATGACACACAGTCAAATGGGTATTATAAAATACATTTAGGGGCACAACTTAAGCTTACTGTACCCACAACTTGAGTTGATTTGAAAAGTGTGATATCTTTTGCCCCGGGACATAAAAATCCTGATAGGTTAGGTATCTACTGACGAGGTATAACACATTTACACACAATAACTATCTCCAAAAACCACCTAACTTTGAGGAGCAATATCTCATCAACGGATTAACGAAAAATGAAAATTTGAACGTAATAATTAATGAAAAAAATAGTTTTATTCAATTATGAAATTTTTAGTATAGGTTACCATTTGAAAATCAAAAGTTGATAGTGGTTTACCTATTAAATATAAGGGTGAAAAATATAAAAAAATATACAATTCTAGAACAGCATAAATCTACAATTTTGAAAAAAAAAAAATTGAAAAAAGTCAATACTTTTTCAAATAATGAGTGTTGTTTGATAAAAGAATCACCCTGTATAATGTATACATGTGTATGGTATAATGATTATAATGGTGGATTGTATACTTTGGTGTGTTCAGTGTCAGTATGTATGAATTATTTACTACTTTTTAGGGCAGTTGTATACATTCACCAATACCTTTAAGTTTTTATACCTTTATATTATGTGGCTTGGTACAAGAAGAGCCAATGCCATATTTTGACAATGTTCAGGAATTCAATCTTAAACTTCATTTTGGAACTCTAAATGTGTTTTTATTTCATTGTAGGACTCTCATTTTGTACGTTTTAGTTTGACATTGGCCACCCAGAAAAATTAATAAAATTACTTTGGTTTTGACTACCATTTAAGAAAACATTTCTACATTCCTAAACTTTCTATTGCATACAGAACTACACATAAGTTAAATAAATAGTTAACTAATTAATTAGTTATATATAGTTAATCTTATAAATCATATTATTAATAAAATATATAATAATAATATGGTATAATGATTGTTATTGTGGATTTTATACTCTTATTTAGTGCGTTCAGTGTGTATGAATTATTTATTACATTTTAGGGCAGTTGTATACATTCGACAATACCTTTAAGTTTTTATATTATATTATGTGGCTTGGTACAAGAAGGGCCAATGTCATATTTTGACAATGTTCAGGAATTCAATCTTAAATTTCATTTTGGAACTCTAAATTTGTTTTTATTTCATTGTAGGACTCTCATTTTGTTGTACGTTTTAGTTTGACATACCTGACTAATCTAACCCAGAGAAATTAATAAAATTACTTTGGTTTTGACTAAAATTTAAAATTTAAGAAATCTTTATAAACTTTCTATTGCATACAGTACTACACATCAGTTAAATAAATCATATTATTAATAACATATATAATTTATACATGTGTATGGTATAATGATTGTTATTGTGGATTTTATACGTTTATTTAGTGTGTTCAGTGTGTATGAATTATTTACTACTTTTTAGGGTAGTTTGCCATTACCATTATATATTCAATGTGTTGTTCAGGTATTATAATATTATGTACTTATACAGAGAGTCCTATAGGTGGTCTACATTAGTACACAGTGGTACCTACATACTATTGATAAATTTTTATTATAGGTATTACTTTAAGTGATTGAAAATTATTAGCATGTAACAATATTTTATGCATGTTTTAGCAGTGTGTCCAGTGTTATTTTACTCACTGCATTTTAGGTTTTTAGGGTAGTTGTATACTTTTACCAATAACTTTTATACTAGCTATATTATATACTTTATATTTAATGTGTTTATTATTATTATTATTATTATTTTATTTTTTTCATTCAAGCAAAACACTTTTATGGATTCCTATATCTTTGCCATTCTCATATAATATTATACAGTGTTTTATACACAGTCACACAGATAATGTATTCCAGCTGATACAAGTTTTTTATTTAAGTTTACATTTGATGTGTTATTTTCACAGTACAAAATATAATAGTTATTTAAATTGTAAACTATTATATAATAATATTCAAGCCGTTTTTGTTTTACATGCGTTACTACAACATTTATTTATCAAAACATATCACAATATATCAGTCATATTAATTACAATTCAATGGTTTTAGGGATTCTTCGTCATGTGCATAATATTTTTCAATGTCAATAATGACACACCGATGGTGTATCTGTTCACTAACAGTCAAAGTAAACAACTGTACGTCTTCGTACAATTTTCAAAAATTAGTTCTTAGTATGGTTAAACGTTTTACTTCAAAATAAATTAAAATTATTAAACACTGTAATATATTATATTGCAATGCAATGTTATGCGTATACAGAACAAAAAAATAAATTAAAGTCACATTAATAATTATGATAAATAAAAATAATAATAATAATGCAACACCAAACGTTATCATCTTATATTGAGCCAGTCAATATATTGTTAGTCATGTTATCAATATTCCTTTTTAGGTACGTCAACTCGAGATACGTCAGCCCGCCAGAAGCCATCTGGCGATTGTTTTCGTACAATTTGCACGGAAAAAGTCACGTGGTCGTCAGGCTTCCCGTTCACCTGGAGGGTCGTCAGAACGTGTACTTTGCGCCGGGCCAAGAAGAAGAACGGCTACAGAACCAAGCCGTACGTCACACGAAACTCACGCAGTTCTTCGCGCTCAACGCGACCAACGTGGAGGCTCGGCAGTACTTGTACCACGACATACCGACGCATTACACATGGCAGCAAAATGTCAAACAATGGCGTCCGCGGGTGAATCGGATGACAAACGTTACATTGGCTCGGATGTACGTAGTCAACCCACTGTACCGGGACCGTTTCCACTTGAGATTGCTACTTCTGAACCGAAGAGGCCCGCAGTCCTTTCAAGACCTAAGGACGGTGGACGGGGTCGTTCACGAAACATTCACGGCGGCTGCGGTTGCACTCGGACTGTTGGAAGACGACCGAGCGTGGCGGGATTGTTGACGGAATCGGCGACGTTGGACACACCGCGGCAACTGCGGTATCTGTTCGTCACCATACTGGTGTTCTGCGAGCCCTCAAACTCGCTGGCGTTGTACGGCGCGAACGAAGCAAACCTGATGGAGGACTTCAACAGACGACTCCAAGACGTCGACCGCGCGAGGGACGCGTGTCTGGCAGCCATCGAGGATCTACTTCGTGCGCACGGAAAGTCGCCGGTCGACTACGGTTTGCCCCTGGCCGACCCCCTTCTACTGGAACCACTGCAGCAGGACGATGCGCTGTTCCGAGAAATAGACGCGGCGGCAAGGTGGGCCCCACAAGTGGACGCCTTGAACGCCGAACAGCGAACGGTGTACGACCGCGTGATGGCGGCCGTCGACGACCCGCGCGAGGCGTCGCGAACTTTCTTCGTCGACGGACCCGGAGGTACCGGAAAGACTACGCTGTACGGATGCCTGATATGGTCGCTTCGACACAGACCACAGCCGTGGGAGGTGTTGTGCGTCGCGTACACCGGGATCGCCGCGTCGCTCATGGACGGCGGCATGACGGTGCACTCGACGTTCGGACTGCCGTTCGGCACGCTCACCGAAGACTCGACTTCCACCATCACCATGCAGTCCGAGCGAGCGCAGAAGATACGGAACGCGGCGCTCATCGTCTGGGACGAAGCCCCCATGTCGCCGGGACTGCAACTGACGGTGGTGGACCGCCTGCTCAGGGACGTCATGGTATCGGAATTACCGTTCGGCGGTAAAACCATGCTGTTCGCCGGCGACTTCAGACAGATATTGCCCGTGATCCGGAGAGGGACGAGAGCCGATATCGTCATGTCTTCGATCAAGAAAAACGGTCTTTGGAACGTCATGGAGCGCTTCGATCTGGTACGGAACATGCGCGCGGGCAACGACGCGGACTTTGCGTCTTGGTTGCTTCAGCTCGGCAACGGCCGACTGCCCGCGGTCGACGGCGTTCCGGACACCGTGCAAATCCCGCGGGAAATGGTATGCGACCCCGCCGATTTAATCGATTTCGTGTATCCGCAGCAAATGTCGTTGGCCAACGTCGAAGAATTTGCTCGGAGAGTCGTCGTGTGTCCCACCAACGAAGAGTGTAGGAGTGTCAACGGCGACGTGCTGGAGCGCGTCGATGGTGAAGAGATGACCTACACCGGCGTCGACACCATGATGGCGGACGAGGCCGACGAAGTGGCCAATTTCCCCACAGAGTTCCTCAACGGTTTGGAACCGGACGGCCTGCCGCCGTTCCGGCTCGAGTTGAAGGTGGGGTGCATCGTCATGTTGCTCAGAAATCTCGATCCGAGGAGACGACTGTGCAACGGTACGCGGGGTCGATGAAAACCCACCTTGTCATGGTGACCCCGCCCGGCCGACCTCGGTCGCTAAGAGGTTTTCAAAATCGGGTCCGTTTAAACTAGTTGTGACGGACCCCAGGCGTCGCGTGAGCTGTTACGTGGCGCCAAGTCGTGCTCTCGCGAGCGGCGTGCCTATACCTCGGGTCGGGAGCAACCCGCGATAAACCACCAGTCAGCTGCAGTGTCCTTTGGCTGGCAGGAATCGTGGGCGTAACCTGACCTCAGGGTCTGAGGGCCGTCGCGGACCAGAGTACAGGCGACAACCCTTAGCTGGGGGATCGCCCGGGGACCTTAGCCAGTTCTCGGGTGGTCAAGCCCGGCCGTGGACTTAGCCGTTTGCGGTCGGGAGAACTTCCGGAGGTTGGCAACTCCGGTCGTAGGCGCCAGGCACCGGCATGGACACACCTTGACCAGGCGGACTTACGGATGCAACATACGCTTAGCCCGACGTATGCCAGAGGGATCAGGGCTGTACCTGGCGGTAGGTAAAACGCAGGGAAGGCCACCCGGACAAACCGACGATGAATACTGACCTAAAATATATTCCCCCAAGTGATAATCCGGTGAACCCGGCAAATTCACCCTCTGCGGAGGCATGGACCCATGGATTTTGGGGGGGTCCATCAGTATTCGTCAACCGGCCAAAGCTGTGCAGCCTGGCTGACGTGCCTTCGGGCAGAACTCCAACCGACGCGCCTTCGGGCCAAAATCTGACTAAAATCGCTAATGACCCTAATCTGACAATAATTGACGACCTATCAGCCAGAAGCACGCTTCGTCTCAAAGGCGGCGGAGACGAAGAGGATAAAAATGGAGAGTTCGGCTCGTCCTTTAACACCCCGACTTTCCAAGGAAAACGCAGGAGACTCACCGAGGACGACCTAAGTCCCGATCCGAGCGGCTCTCTGAGTACGCACGCTTTGTCTATTGAAAAGTACTCGGACGAGGCTAGCACGCTAATAAATGACTCCCGAGCGATCCTTGAAGATATGGTTAAGGAAGCTAAGGTAGCTAGAAGATGGGTAAGCACCATCGGTCTTCAGCTTGACGAAATCCTCGTTAGCAATAACCGTCTTACTCGAACAAGCTACAGAGTCCTCGGTATGTGGGAAGAACAGCGCAGCGAGCTCCGAGCGTTTCAGGAGCATATAAATGACCTCCATAGCGATATGGGTGCTCTTAAGGAACGTTATAGTCAGTGTCAGGCTGACAGAGACAGCGCCAAGGCGGAATTGGCAGCCCTACGTGCGTCCGGCAGTTCTGCCCCCCCCTCAGCCGTTAACTACGTCAACCAGGCTCTTACCTCCACCTATCGAATATGTAGACATTGACGAAGACTGCATAATGATAGTAAGCCCATCAGGTAATTCTTACGCTGCTGCTGCTGCCAAAACGCAGGCTCGCAACAACAAGAAACGGGAAGAATTCCCACAGCTTAGCACACCGAAAACTAAGAATCTGCCAAGGAGTGCAGCCTCCATTAAGAGCAGATTGGACACGAAGAAGATTGCCAACAGCGGCAAACTAAAAGTAGATGCAGCTAAGAAAATTGACAGGGCCAAATCCGCCAGGGTGGGTCCAAGATTCGAGGTAAATACGGGTTCTGATGGTTGGATAGAGCTCCGTAAGTCCGTGGAACAAAAACTCCCCAACCCAAAAGTCAGGACGGTAAAAACTAAGAACGGTGGCTTGTTACTTTTCCCCGAGGACGCCGACACTGCGGCTGCTCTTCGACGCACCAGCAACCTAGTTGAAAGGGCTCCACGCCGGCCTAGAGTCATTATTAAGCACGTCGATAGACTACTCGAAAGAGAGGTGATCCCGTGGGCCTTGTGCAAAAACTCAGCACTCGATATCAGTGACCAAGAGCAAGCCAGTATTAGGCCGCTCTTCATGCTTGGTCCCCGAACAGGTCACACCGTACATTGGGTCATAGAGGTCTCCCCAGACACCTTGAAAAAGATCGACGGTAAATCCGCATACTTGGGCATGACTAAGTGCAAAATGAAGTTATACGACTCAGTCACGCAGTGCTACAACTGCCAGGGATTTGGCCACACTGCCCAAAAATGCAGGGAAGAGAAACCCAGGTGTAGACAATGTTCGGAACGTCACGACTCTAGGTCTTGCACATCGCAAATAAGAAAGTGCCCAAATTGCCGCAGCACTGAGCATAACGCGGCTTCAGCAAAGTGCCCGGCAAGAACAGCTGCAATCCTGCGCCTCACCCGCCAGACTGACTTTGGGAGTACATGTCCACCTCAGAGGTCAATGGAGCCGTCCCTGACTAATGAATAACAGCAAAATTAAAATACTTCAGCACAACCTGAATCGGGACCGCACTGCCTCCCACCAACTCCGCGTAGCCTGCAAAAATCTGAAAGTCGACTTCCTATTAGTACAGGAACCACTGGTCAATAACGGAAAAATATACGCCTTTGAAAGATGCAAATGCCACATAAGCAAAAAATCGGGCGCAGCTGTCATCGTCCTGACAGACCGCTTTCAATGCATTACCCTCAGTACTCTTACATCTAACCACGTGGCATCTGTAAAGGTTACATACGGCAAAAGGCCCTGCGATTATGTGATTCTGGCTTCTGCGTACTTCAAGTACAGCGAGCCGACAACCATCCACTTGGAACGGTTGAATCAAATCCTTCTGGCTGATAACAGAGTCATTATAGCTGCAGACACTAACGGCCACTCACCACGCTGGCACTCGGTCTCGAGAAATCGCCGTGGCAGACTCACCGAACAATTTATTGACAATCACGACCTTAAAATACACAACGCCGCGGGTCAGATTAACACTTTCTGCCGCCGAGACAACCGCTCCTCAAACATCGATGTAACCTTGTCTACAAGCAACATCAGTAATTGCATTGAAAACTGGTCTGTCAGTGACCTTACTGACAGCGATCATAGGGTTATTGCTTTCACTATGAAAGTGAACGGTATGGTGAAACCCGCGTCACTTGATAAACGGTATGATACAAGAACTGCCGACTGGGAACTGTTCCACACCACGCTCCTCAGTGAAATCGGCAGCATCGACGAATGCTCGATAGAATCCACGGCCTTGGGCATAAACCGTGTGCTTGCCACAGCCGCTGACCGCGCTATCCAGCGCAAAAAACCCGGTGGTATCTCAGGTAAGAACATCTGGTGGTCGCCCATACTCTCCACCCTCCGGCAAACCCTTGTCCGCAAGCGACGAGAAGGACTCCGGACCATTGACAGACAAGCGTACAACAGGCTACGGAATGACTTCCTGTCTGAAATAAAGAAACATAAACTAGCCGCTTGGAAGTGCTTCGCCGGCGAAATGAATGCTAATCCGTGGTGCAAAGCATTCAAGTGGGCAAAAGGCAGTTACTGTATGCATAATATACCAAGTAACATGACCAAGCCGGACGGATCGCTCACATCCGACTGTTGTGAGACAGCTGAACTCCTGCTGAATACTTTTGTCCCAGAAGACCCCGATCAGGCCCGATGTGACATGGATCTCCATGGTCCTTCACAAATCAGTGATCTTCCTAGCCCATACGATATCAAAGCGGCCATATGGCGTATGCAGCCGACCGGTGCACCTGGCGCAGATGGTATTACTGCAGGCATACTGAGGAAAGCCTGGCCTGCCCTCCGCGAATCCATCACTTACCTGTTCGGCAGATGTCTTCACGATGGAATCTTTCCTGACTGCTGGAAGATTGCCAAGTTGATCATTATCCCCAAACCGGGCCGCTCAGACACGTGTAATGTTAAGTCCTTCAGACCTATTAGCCTACTTCCGGCACTAGGCAAGGCACTTGAGACCCTCATCATAAAGAGGATAGGGCTTGAGACAAATTTGGACTCCTTCGCTGCACAACATGGCTTCACCGCTGGTAAGTCCACGGTCAGTGCTCTCCGTAGCTTACATGAGCGCATCGATGCGTCTAAATCACGGCACATATTCGGGACTTTCCTCGACATTACCGGCGCATTTGACAATGTAAGATGGTCGTCATTGCTCTTGCAAATGCAGCGTCTGGGCGCCTCGCTTGAAACATCTAAAATCGTGATATCGTACCTTCGCAACAGGTGGGCGGACCTGGAACTTGAGGGCATCCACTACCGGAGGAGGCTCGCTAGGGGGTGCCCTCAGGGATCACAGTTGGGTCCTACCCTCTGGAAAATAGCAATGACACCCATATACGGCATGCTACCTGACACCAGCACGACCAAAATAATTACCTACGCAGACGACATTCTGCTAATGGTTGGCGCCGCTAGGCCTACAACAGCTTTCCAGCGGATTGAAAAACAGTTGGACCTACTAAACAATTGGGCCTTTACGTTTAGCCTTGAATTTTCCGCCAGCAAAAGTCAACTCCTATCACTTAAAGGCGGCCTTAAACCTGGCTACAGCGTTCGCTTCGGGACGAGAGCAGACGCTCCTTTAATCGTATCCTCGGCCACGGCCAAATACCTCGGGGTGTACCTGGACCCGAGACGGAGCTTCTGGGATCACATCGAGCATGTAAGCCAAAAATCGCGAGACATGTACGGTCGCATGAGAAGACTCCGCTCCGCGAACTGGGGCATGGGCCAACTTGCGGCCAGGACAATCTATAGGGGAGTCTTCTTACCTCGTGTAACTTACGCAGCTGAAATTTGGGCTTCAGGGACTAGACTTGAAAAAAGCAAAAAGAAACTACTAAGCGCCCAGAGAGCTCCCCTCCTGGCGATGACCGGTGCCTACAACACCGTGTCTACAAACTGCCTTCCAACAGTCGCAGGTACTATGCCATTAGACCTGGAAATAAGGATGCACGTCCTAACACAGAAGATGCGTAAACAGGAGATTACAAACGCCGCATTCGACGGAAGTGTAGACGATCTCTTTAACGAATGGCAACTCAGATACGACACCCTGCCCAAGGGTAACTGGTCCAAAAAAATGATTCCATCGGTAAGACATAGGTTCAATCTTCCGATGAAGCTGGATCACTACACGACCCAGTTTCTAACAGGCCATGGAGACTTCCGGGCAAAACTGCATAGTTTCAAACTCGTGTCAGATCCGATCTGCGAGTGCGACCGGAAGCCAGAAACTATCAATCACGTACTCAGGTTTTGCCCACGCACGAAGAATGCCCGCAAAAAACTAAAAAGCACCCTCAGTGACGAAGGCGTTTCTTGGCCACCGGCTGATGGGGCCTTCCTCAAGTCAAAGGCCACATATGAGGCATTGGTAACATTCTCAAGAGAAGCCCTTACAAATCGCACGGACAGATAAACGACTAATGGATAGAATGATTCAAAGTACGAATTGAAAGGGTTGTTAACCCTATGGGTCAGGACGCTGCCCCGTCTACGACGGAAGGCATAGTCTCGGGGTGTTCCCGATGAGCACGTATGGCGTAAGTGGCAGAAACGGGGGAACACGCTCGAGCGCGTTCTGGCCCGGGTCGTGCTCATACGTCAGGGACGTGGTGCTCGGCCCTGTTGCGGGGCCGTACAGAATTCCGCATCAGTATTCCCTGCTTGTCGTACAAGGCGACTATAAGAGAGCTTGACCAGTCGGGGTCGGCGCCAGGGGCGCGGACGCACCGAAACCTTCGGGGATTAGGGCGTTGAGAGGTTTTGACCGCGACCTCGGGAAGTGCGGGTCGGTCACTGGGCTTAGCCACCTGGTGACGCCTTTGTGGCGTGGTTGAGGTTCTGACCGCGACCTCTTGAAGAGCGGGTCGGTCACTGGGCTTAGCCACCTGGTGACGCCTCTGGGAGGTGGAGCTTGGGCCCACCGTGAGCCCGCGGTACACGGCCCGAATCTCGGGAGGATAATAAGCTGAGGCATAACGCCGACGAAGCTTCGTCCGAGCATCCCACCAATGATGTGCCTTACCTTACGGGAGGCGAGAATGGTACTTCGGGATGTGAGGGGGCCCCTCGGTGTTGAGTGATTAACTCCGAGCCTTCACTCGTTGGTCGTGGTGGACACTGCCTCGACCAACGGCGGATTGGTTTCGAAGTGGCAGTTTGCAGGAGCATACTATGTGGTAATAGACCTCACGCTTGGTCAGGGGATAGTTGCCGAGTGACGGGGCCGGGCGGACCCGTACGGCGACAGTCGGCCGGGAATGCACGGTCTCTCCTTAGCGCTCACCCAGCTTATCGTTGGAGCTATATACAGCGAAGGTTGTCCGTGACCAAAAACGGAAAGCAAAGTGGATAGATTGCGGCCTCACCAAGGTGGCAAAAGGCACCGGTATGCCCTAGCCAGATGGTACGGGCGCGCCGGGGAACTCCTCCGTGCGCGTCCGGTGCTCGTGGTCCCTAG